GAAGACGCGAGCGCTGGCGCAGAGGCCGCGGCGACCCAGCCATCCAGCTCCAAGAGCATCCGCGCACCATCTCGTGCGGCCTCGGCCCTTCGAGCCAACGTGGACCTCAATGTCACGGCCGACAAAGGTGAGCTGCCACGGCGCACAGCGTGCTGCTGGCGTGGCCGCTCTGCAAGACATCGGAACGGACCGAAAAGAGCAGTGGGCGGGGAGCGAGCGGTGGCAAAGCGCTGCACCACCCCGTAGCTGACCCGCAGGGCCGCCTGGGCGCCGAGTGGGGCCTTCATCTTCTGGAGGAACAGGAAGATCCAGGCATGCTCGGCACTCAGGAAGGCCTGGCCGAAGACATAGGGCATGAGCATCAAAGAGCACCGGCGTTGCTGACGCTCCCCACAAGGCACGGTGCCATTTTGGGGTCGGCTGGCGGACCAGAAAGGACACCGATGCTGCTGCTGATACCCACAACGGTGTCATTTTGGGGTCGGATAGGGCACATATGCTCTGGGCCTTCATGGCCGCGATGCGAGAGTAAGCGTCGAGCTCGACAATGTTGGAGCAGTCACGGCCGCGCTGGACGCCCCTTTGCGTAGAGACGCATTGGATCTCGCCGCGTAGATGCGCAGTGGACCTCGGCCGCGCTCTTCATGCAGAACTTGGTGGCCCACATGACTGCTTTCGTCAAATTGCTCTACAGCGCCCCCGTTCTAGTGTCTCCTGGTCGCCGAACGCCTTCGCGAGGGCCCCCTCGAGCCGCAGGCCCTTGGCGGGGAAGACCGCAACGCTGCAGTGCCAGCAGCTGCACATGGACTGCTCAGGACTGCCCAGAGCAGGCCAGCCAAATCTCCATGATAACCATGGCTCCTGAGACACAGGGCGACCAGAGGCGACGGGCCTGGGCCATCCTCGTAGAAACGACAAACATTCAGGGGGCCCCGCGCCGCAGGAGCCCCCAGCGGCCCCAGCAGCTCCCACGAGCAGGGCAGCCGAGGCCACCACGACCCCAGGGCGGTGCGGAGCCCAGCCCTCTGCCAGTGCACCGCCAGGGCCAGAGTTCTCGCACCCATCCCGGAAGCAAGCCACGACTTCGGACCGAGCCCACCCGGCCCAGGCATGGCGTGGCCAGCACTCCGAAGCGCAAGAGCGATGGTGGACTCCGTCGGCGGCGGGGGTAGGAGGGGTAAGAGGAGGAGGAGAAGGAGGAGGGGGCCAGCGTCGGAATGAGGTCGATTGCTCCTTAACGCCCTGGGCGGGCCGCCGCCGCACGTTGACGGTCGCGGGCGAAGGTTGGGACGGTGCGTCGGCCGCGCGGGAGGTCTGTAGCCGCCCGAGCGGCTCGGGCACACTCAAAACTCTGCTGGTCGGAAACCGCCCCGTCAGGCCCGCGCTTCCTGACCTGATGCAAGTGCCGATGAAGGTGGCAACGCATCACCAGAAGACGAGCCGCGTCCGTGCAGTGGCCGACGAGGGCTAGCCGGGCTAGCATGTCCGAGGGAACAGGACGCCCCGAAACCCGAAACAAGAGAAGGAGGAGGAGGAGGAGGAGGAGGAGGAGGAGGAGGTGGAGGAGCAGGAGGAGGAGGAGGAGGAGGAGTAGGAGGAGGAGGAGGATGGAAGCTTGACGCTACACTCTATTTTGAATTTTTGGATTAAGTATTATATTAGTATTATTTTATTCAATGAGTAGTTGTAGTAACATATTAAGTATAATGATTAGTAAGGAGGAGAGGAGGAGGGAGTAGTAGGAGGAGGAGGAGGAGGAGGAGGGGGCTTTGGCCCAGCGTGAGCGAGAGGCCGAGAAAGGGCAGCGCCGCTGACCCCCCGAGCAGCAGCAGCAGCGGCCTCTAGCAAAAAATCGTGCGCGGACTGGCCGAGGGCCAACCGGGACGCGCGGCCGAGCGACTGGCGGCAGTCTGCGCTTCGCCTGCGCTGCCGTTGGATTCGTTGCCGAATCGACCCTGGCACGGGTGGCGTGAGGGAATCGGATCCATGGAAAGGTGGCGACATCCGAACTCTCCCCCCACCCGCCATCGATTCTCCGGAACCGATGGGGGGGTGGGGCTGGGGTTCGGATTTCGCCGCGTGCTCGGCGAATTCCGAAGCCTACCCCCCCCGCCACCCATCGAGCTGCCAGAACCGTTGATCGGCGAGGGTGCGGCCCGGATTTCGCCGCCGACTGGAGGAAGCGGGTTCTGTCTGGGCCCCCTGGGGGCTGGCACTGGGCCACTGGGAAGCCGACCCCGGGAGCGGCAGCCCAGGTGGGGGGGGGACCAGAGGTTGGCCCTGTGCTCCACGGGAGCCCGAAGGCGGCGACCGAACCTCCAGACCCCCTCTCCTCCATAGTGGGCCAATCTTCCACCACCACTCACAGGTAGGACGGGGGAGAAGGGCGGATAGGGAGGTTCTCCTCCTCCTCCTCCTCCTCCTCCTCCTCCTTTCGTTCTCCTCCTCCTCCTCTTCATCCTCCTCCTTTTCTTCCTCCTTCCCTTCCTCCACCTCCTCCTCCTCGTCCTCCTCCTCCTCCACCTCCTCCTCCTCTCCTCCTCTTGCTCCTCCTCCTCCTCCTCCTCCTCCTCCTCCTCCTCCTCCTCTCCTACCTATGGTAGTGGTGTTGGAAAATCGGCCCATCACTCCAGGAGCCGATTTCTTCGCGCTTACACTGGCTGCTGACCAAGTCACCCCAAGCCAACCTGAAGTCGCCGTTGAACCTGCCAATTTTCAAGGGGACGGTCTGGAACATCGAGGACACACTGTGGAAACAGCAAGCCCCAAAACCTTCTACTTAGAGGGGTCTGGGTCCTTCGGGTTGAATTGAGGTGGTTTGGTGAGCAATGAACTACAAGCACCCCCCAAAACTAAACTACACACCAAGTGCGAGGCCGACGCAAAGAGTGCCGGCCAGGCCTCCCTCCCCGCGCCCCCGCCGCGGGGAGCTGGGCCAGGCTCGAGAGCTGTGGCAGCCTCTGCGACTCTGATCGCGAACAGTCGAAGGCGATCCCCGTCGAGCCTCCTCCTCCTCCTCCTCCTCCTCCATTTCCTGCTCCTGCTCCTCCTCCTCCTCCTCCTCTGCAGCAGCGGCGGCAGCAGCAGCAGCAACAGCAAGATCATCATCATCATCATCATCATCATCATCATCATCATCATCATCATCATCATCATCATCATCATCATCAGCAGCAGCAGCAGCAGCATCATCATCATCAGCAGCAGCATCATCAGCAGCATCATCATCATCCTCAGCATCCGCACCACCATTATCATCATCAGCATCGTCATCATCATCATACCAATAATAATCAGCATCATCAGACTCATCCTTATCATCATCATCATCATCATCATCATCAGCAGCATCAGCATCATCATCAGCATCATCAGCACCAGACCCAGCAGCAGAATCATCATCACCATCAGCAGTCTCATCCTAATCATCATCATCACCGTCATCATCATCATCATCATTAACATCATTATCATCATCATCATCAGCAGCATCATCATCGTCATCATCATCGTCATCATCATCACCATCATCATCACCATCATCATCAGCATCGTCAGCATCATCATCAACATGATCATCATCATCATCAGCATCATCATCATCAGCACCATCAGCATAATCAGCATCAACATCATCATCATGATCATCACCATCATCATCAGCATATCAGCATCACCATCACCATGACCATCACCATCACCATCATCATCATCATCATCATCATCATCATCATCATCAACAACAACATCATCATCCCTCTCATGTTTCCCATCTTCCTCCTCCTCCAAATCCCTCTCCTCCTCCTCCTCCTCCTCCTCCTCCTCCTCCTCCTCCTACCCCTCCAACTCCAACTCCTCCTCCTCCTCCTCTTCCTCCTCCTCCTCCCCCTCCCCCCCTCCGCTCCTCCTCCTCCTCCTCCTCCTCCTCCTCTTCCTCCTCCTCTTCCTCGTGCTTCCTCCTTCTCCTCCTCCTCCTCCTCCTCCTCTCCTCCTCCTCTGCCTCCTCCTTTTCCTCCTCCTCCTTGCTCATCCTCCTCCTCCTCCTCTTCAGCTCCTCCCCCTCCTCCTCCTCCTTCTCCTCCTCCTCATCTTCCTCCTCCCCTCCTCCCCTCCCCCTCCTTCTCCGCCTCCTCCTCCTCCTCCTCCTCTGCCTCCTCCTCTCCTCCTCCTCCTCCTCGCTCCTCCTCCTCCTGCCTCCTCCTCTCTCCTCCTCCTCCTCCTCCTCCTCCTCCGCCTCTCCTCCTCCTCCTCCTCCTCCTCCTCCTCTCCCCCTCCTCCGCCTCCCGCTCCCCCCCCCCCTCCCCCTCCCCTCCTCCTCCTCCTCCTCCTCCTCCTCCTCCTCCTCCTCCTCCTCCTCCTCCTCCTCCTCCTCTGTCCTCCTCCTCTGCCTTCTCCTCCTCCTCCTCCTCCTCCTCCTCCTCCTCCTCCTCCTCCTCCCTCTCCTCCTCCTCCTCTTCCAACGCCCCTCGAGCCGCCCTCCGGGAAGAGGGCGCACCGCCCGCGCAAGCCGCTCAGTGCTACGAATGGCCGCTGTCCGCTCTCAGGCTGTCCTCCTCCTGCATCGTGTCCGCGGACTGCCGCGGCGGGGGGGGGGACGGAGGAGGCGCAGGCTCCTGGGGGTGGGGCCTCCCTCCGCGTCCCGGCCCTCCCGTCTCCTGCTCCTCCTCTTCTCGCCTCGTCGCCCTCTGTCGGTGCTCCCTTCTTTTCTCCCGCATCCCTCCTCCAGCCGCCTCCAGCTCCTGATCCCTCCTCCAGCCTGAGGCTGGAGGAGGGATCAGGACAGGCCTGGGGGGGGGAGAAGGGGGAGGCGGGGGAAGCAAACGCAGCGTGGTGGCGAAGATCTGCTGCGGCAGTGCGACTTACATCATGGTGACAAGAATTGCGATGATCTTGATCATGACGACGATGATGTTGATGATGAGGGTCCGCCACTGTGCCCCCCTGGCACGTTGATGCGTGCTAGAAGCTGCAATATTCTAAACGGCCACCCCCCCACACCCACTCTAGTTGCACTTCGCCGCATGCACCGCCCCCCCTCCTGAGGCCAGAACCCCTTGCGACATACGACAGATCCGCACTCCTTAGGCCACAACCCCTTGTAAAATACGACAGCTGCACGTTCCCGAAGTCAAGAGGCCTCCGAGACGGCCCAAGATGGCTCAAAAAACGACCCACTGCGACCCCGAGTCGGCCCAAGATGCCTTCGACACGTCTCAAGAGTTTTTCCAAGAGGGCCTCGAGAAGCAACGCTCAGTGCTTGCTTTACGGTGTTTCAATCTTTGGGGTTTCTCGCCTGCTCGAGCATCCGACGTCCAAAGACAGCCCGAGGGCTCAGTACGAGAAGCACAAGACGTCCAAAGAGGCCCCCTAAGAGGGCCCCAAGACGGCCCAAGAGGACTCCAAGACGGCCGAAGAGGCGCCCAAGACTGCCCAAGAGGACCCCAAGACGCCCCAACGCAGGGCTCAAGAGGCCCCCCAAACGACCGAACCCCTAACGGCCGCCAAGGCTGCATCACAGGAGAAGACCAAACCAACCACAAGACGGCCCAAACGAGGCCCATGAGGGCTCTTTCCGTGTGGAGACGCAAGGTGCCACATGTGACGGCACTCCTCTTCCTCTTCTTCCTCCTCCTCCTTCTCATGATTATCGTCGTCCTCATCATCATCCTCATCCTCAGGCTTTCTCCTCCTCCTCCTCCTCACCACCACCACCATGACCATCACCATCACAATCACCATCACCATCATCATCATCACCATCATCATCAGCATCATCATCATCAACAACAGCAACATCATCATCATCAACATCGTCATCATCATCATCCTCATCAACAGCATCATCATCATCATCAGCAGCAGCATCAGCCGCATCATCAGAAACATCATCAGCATCAGCAACATCAGCATAAGCATTCTCAACAGCGACATCAGCATCAGTAACAACAACATCAGCATCAGCATAAGCATCATCACCAACACAAGCATCATCATCCTCATCAATATCATGATCAGCAGCAGCATCAGCATCAGCATCATCATCATAATCAGCATCAGCATCAGCAACATCAGCATAAGCATTATCATCAGCGTCATCAGCATCACCAACAACAACAGCATCAGCATCAGCACCAACACCAGCGTCGTCATCACCACCACCACCATCATCACCCCCACCATCACGAACACCATCACGATTATCATCATCAGCATCATCAGCGCCGTCCTAATCATCATCAGCATCATCATCATCAGCAGCAGCATCATCGTCATCCTCCTCAACATCATCACCAACATCATTACCATATTCCTCATCATCAGCAGCGTCATCAGCATCAGCAAAAACAACATCAGCATGAGCATCAGCACCAACACCGGCATCGTCAGCATCAGCACCATCACCACCACCATCACCACCACCATATGTCTCCCTCTCCTCGTCATCCTCCTCCTCCTCCTCCTCACAACCACCACCACCATCATCATCACCAACAGCAGTTGCAACATCAACATCATCGCTACCGTCCTCATCATCAACAACAGCATCATCATCATACTCATCATCAGGGTCATCATAATCAGAAACAGCAACATTTGCATCAGCATCAGCACCAGCACCAGCATCGTCAGAATCACCACCATCATCACTACCACCATCACTAGCACCATCAACATCATCGTCATCAATTTCAGCATCGTCCTCATCAGGATCATCATCAGCATCATCAGCACCGTCCTCCTCATCCTCATCCGCATCAGCGTCATCAGCATCAGCAACATCCTCGAAGCATTGCTGACGTCGTTGCTATGGCCATCACCACCTCCATCGTCATCAACATCGCCATGAGCAGCATCAATATCTCCACCACCACCATCATCATCATCAGCAGCATCATCGCCATCCTCGTTTTCATCAGCATCAGCAGCAGTATCAACATCAGCAACAGCACCATCGTCATCCTCATCATCATCTCGCCATCATCATCATCAGGATCATCATCAGCATTAGCATCACCATCATACTCATCGTAAACATCCGCAGCATGATCATCAGCATAATTATCATCATCATCATCGCTGCCATCAGCATCAGCAACAACAACATCCGCATCAGCACCAACACCAGCATCGTCAGAATCACCACCATCATCATCACTACAGCCATCACTATCACCATCACTATCATCATCATCATCATCCTCATCATCCTCATCTTCAGCATCGTCTTCATTATGATCATCATCAGCATCATCAGCACCGTCCTCCTCATCCTCATCAGTATCAGCGTCATCAGCATCAGCAACAACAACATCAGCATCAGCACCAACACCAGCGTCGTCATCACCAACACCATCATCATCACCAACACCAGCTTTCTCCTCCTCCTTCTCATCCTCGTCCTCCTCCTCCTCCTCCTCACCACCACAACCATCATCATCACCAGCATCATCATCATCGTTATCGTCCTCATCCTCATCATCAACAACATCATCATAATCAGTATCATCATCAGCGTCATCAGCATCAGCAACAGCAAGATCAGCATCAGCATCAGCATCAGCATCAGCACCATCAACAGCATCAGCATCTGTATTTTCTTGATCAGCATCATCATCATCATCATCATCATCATCATCAGCGACGTCAGCATCATCAAAAGCAGCATCAGCATAAGCACCAGCACAATCGTCAGCACCAGCACCATCATCATCATCATCATCATCATCATCATCATCATCCTCATCCTCATCCTCATCCTCATCCTCATCCTCATCCTCATCCTCATCCTCCTCATCATCAGCATCGTCATGATCATCCTCATCATCCTCATCATCATCATCATCATCATCATCATCATCATCATCATCAACATCATCAGCATCATCAACATCATCACGGCTCCCCCAAGCCTGGGGGCACGAGGTGTCACGCGTGACGGCCTCCTGCGCCCCCTCGCACAGTCGCCACCAAGAATGCTGGGCTGGCACGGTGGCGGGACTTGTCGCTGGCAGCTGGATAACGAGGATGAATGTAAGACTCAAGTTGGAGATGATCGTGAAGCTGATGGCGCGCATAAGGGGGTAGGGGGAGGGGGGAAAGCTTCTCAGAAGGAGCCTGCTTCTCAGAAGGGGCACGCCCTGCATCTATAGATGAGGCCCGCGCCTTCTAAAAAAATGATGTTTCTACAAGCCTTGCCCCTCTTGGAGGCCTCTTGGTCCGTTTGGAAAGCTTCTTGGGCCGTCTGAGACCCCTGGAGGCCGTCGTCGGGGTGGCTCGGGGCCGTCTTGAGCAGCTGGAACGGGTGTCTGATCGCTCTGGGGACCCATGTCACCCCCCGACAGCGGGCCCAGCCCCGAAACGCCCCGAAAAGGGTCGGCCCGACCCCCTCGGGACTAGAAACGGGGTCGAGAATGGGGGGGAGATTTGAAAAAGTGTTCAGCCCCCGGGGTTGGGGGCCCGGTTCCCAGTTAAATATATCATAGAAGCCTGCCTCCCTCCCCCTGACCCACTCTGCGCGTGGCTGGTGCGTGATGGTGCAGACCACTGATATCGCGAGGATGTCGAGGAGCAGTGTGGGCGGGCAGCCTCGGCCCGCAGTGAGGGAGGGCGGGAGGGAGGGAGGGAGGAGGAGGAAGAGGAGGTTGGAGGGACGGGGGGGCTCTCAGGGCTCGAGGGGCCCCTGCCCCGTCCGAGGATCGAGGGTCCACGAGAACAGGAACATACCGTAGACGGATATACCCATGCTCCGACCTTGCACCGCGCCGAGCGCAACGGCCACGTCGTCTATAGACGTAACTACCCTGAAAGTGTCCATGGGCGTCACGGCACCCAGTGTGTCCATAGACGCTTGTGGCTAGGACGTGAGAACGGTATTTGGCATCCGCCCCAGATGTTGGTCTTCTAGGAAGCAGGTAGGCTTAGCCCTCCAAGAAGGGGGGGGGTCCCGCCGCCGCGCTGCCTCGGGATCGCCCTCCAGGTGGGCCACCTTCTTCCCGGCCAGGAGGCTGACGAAGTGGTCCACGATGTACAGGGAGCGGGTGCGGAAGCAGGTGCGCTCCTGGAGGTGCCCTGGTCCCCCTCCCCCAGGCAGAGAGACGAGGATCAGGGGGAGGACATTGAGTTGGGGATCGACTCCAGCATTGACTTACCCAGACTTGTGACGCTCCGCGCGGATTTCGTGGATCTGCGTTGGACCCCCCTCCCTGGCGCGCGGAGCGCGCCAGGGGCGGCGCCGGAGGCGCCGCCAGGGGGGCCAAGCGCGGATCCAAGAAATCCGCGCGGAGCGCCACAAGTTTATGTGTATGGCGTTTTTTTCTTCTCTTCCTTGATTACCCCAAGATTGATTCCCCCGTCGAACCTGCAAGAGAGAGATATATTTTTGTTCATGCGTTCGACGAAAACCCATCCTGGTGCAAATCCATTCCGTAGTCTGTCCGCCACTCGAGGATAACGAGGGGGGACGAAGGTAAAGTTCCCCTATCGTTCCTCCTGCGTATCCTCCTCCTCTGTCACCTCCTCTGATGGGCCTGTTTTCCACCACCACCACCACCATAAGTTGGAGGGGGAGGGGGTCGTCGTCCTCCTCCTCCTCCTCCTCCTCCTCCTCGTCCTCCTCCCCGTCCTCCACCTCCTTCCCCCCTCCAACTTATGGTGGTGGTGGTGGTGGAAAACAGGCCCATCATCCTCCCCGGCCTGCTCCGCCCACCGCTGCAGCCGCCCTCCGCCGACCACCCTCGTCCTCCCGTTCCGAGGGGCTCGCCCGCCCTCCTCTAAGACGAAGCCACGACGAGGACCAATTCGGGCGATGATAAGTCGAGAATCTCTGAGATCGGGCCGCTCTGGTGGATGCCTCGGGCGCCACAGCCTTTTCAGAGAGTTCCAGAACGCTCTGAGAGCGTTCCGGAACGCTCTGGAATGGATTCATCCTCGTCCCAGCCCCGTCCGATCCTCCCTTCTGTCCACACGTACTCGGGAGCGGCCAAGAGGAGGGTGTCCAAGAGGGGGGGGGTGCAAATCATGACCGGCGGCATGTGCGCGGCCCAGCGGGGGGGCCAGCGACGTAATGAAACAAGAAGAGGCGTCATAAAATCTGGGGAGATATCATGGCCCCCGCCATGATATCCACCCCCCCTGATCATCACCCCCCTCTTTGCCGCCCCCGACGCACGTATTCAACCCCCAGCCGTGTCGAGTCCACCGGAGAGAGCCGCATCCGTCTTCTCGACAGTGAGGCCAGGGGGAGGCACCACCGGACTGGCCGCAAGCTCCGCTGATGGTGTTGGTGCAGGGACTGCCTGCGAACCTGCTCTCCTCCTCCTCCTCCTCCTTCTCCTCCTCCTCCTCCTCCTCCTCCTCCTCATGCTGAGCCTCACGTCGATTGGGCGGCAGTGAGCCCACCGTTACCACTTTCAAGTTATGTGCTGTCGTTCGCTCCTCAGCACTGTTGCTAATCTGCTCGGACTCCCCTTCCCCCTCATAGTCTGTCTCATTCCTCCCTCCACCCCCCCTCCTCCTCCGCCATTTCCTCCTCCCTCCCCCCTCCTCCTCCTCCTCCTCCTCCTCCTCCTCCCGAATCCGCCTCGAGCCTAAATTTCTCCCCATGCTCCACTTCCTACACCATCCCGCATCCCTTCTTTTTCCCTCGTCCCTTACCCCCCCTTCCCTCCTGACATTCTCCAGCCCTCAAACTTCCATCCCTTCTCCCTCCCTCATCGCTCCTCTCTCCCTCCGACCCCACCTCCTGTTCGTCCACCTCTTCTTCACGATGCGCTCCGCGGCAGACATGCCGGTCACGTTCAGCGCCTCTTGATGAGCTTCGATCTCGGTCTTCATGGCCTCAACGATCTTGTTCCGGCGGAGCTCCACGATCTCACGCAGGAGGTACCGTATTCGAGCCTGATCCCAAAGGGGGAGAAAAAGGAACAAGGACAGTAGGAAGAGGGAACTACTGCCCGAGCCTTCTCCCGCTTGCCCGCGTCGGACGTCTTGGACTGCGACAGCAGGGCGAGGGCGATCTCGATGTAGTGGTCGTGCACCTCGGGCGCAACATGCACAATTCGTGGCGTCGCGATCTCAAACCATCCTGTCGGTCTGACCTCCTGCTCCATCCTTCTACACCACCATCCCTCTTATTCCCACTGCGTCCGCCTCCTTCACTCTCCATCTCCTCATCCCTGGGTCAGCCGGAAGCTGAAGCGAAATACATACGCTCTCGGCTGAAACTTGCTCAATTACAAATCGACCCCACGCAACACAAATCGATGTATGTGTTTCCAGCATTGGGAACTACGGGAGACGGCCCTGGCCTGATATAGTGGCTAGGAGAATGTCTTCCGCGCCAATAATCCCACCAACCCTCCAGGCGCAGGTGGTCTAACAAGATTCCTCTTCCCTCTTCCCAAAACAACCCTCTTCCCTACGTGGAGAGGTTTCTCACTGTTCCCTATTAGTATACACCCCCTTCCCCAGGCGACTGGAAACCACACCGAGTCCATGAGTGCCCCCCCCAAACACCATCCCTTTGCAATAAACAATACAAACCACACTCTGCCCCCACCATCTCGTAACAGGCAATCCAAAACATACTCTGTCTCCAAATTCGGAGTATGCGAAGCGAGCCCGATGCGGCCTCCCCCCACCATCCCTGTCAAAAACAATACAGAGTACACTTGGCGGCGGCGGCGGCTGCGGCGGCTGCGGCGGCAGCGGCGGGGGCAGCGGCTGCGGCGGCTGCGCGGCGGCGGCGGCGGCGGTGGCGGCGGCGGCGGCGGCGGGCGGTGGCGGCGGCGGCGGTGGCGGCAACGACTGCGGCGGCAGCGGCTGCGGCGGCGGCGATTTGGCAGCGGGGGCTGCGGCGGCGGCGGCGCGGCAGCGGCGGCGGCGGGCGGCGGCGTCGGCGGCGGATTCGCCCCTAGTAGCTGCCCATCCAGAAACGACTGCTGCATATGCTGCGGCTCGGGCCAGGCTCCGGGTTACGTATGTGTTGGGAGGGCGGGTGGGAGTGAGCGAGACGGCTTGCGGGCGGGGAGGGCGTCTTGATCCCTCCCCTTACCCCCTCCCCTGGACTTTTTGGGGGGGTTCCGCGAGGTGTCAGGGCGTCCAAAACGGCCTCGGCGAGGAAGCCACATTCATTGGTTTCCCCAGGTTTTGGCCCCATGTTGGCCTCTTTGGGGGGGACTGAACGTTACAACATCTCCTCCTTTGATCGATGGCCTTCAGGATGGCCCCAAGAGGCCTTCCAGGGCTCTCAAGAAGGCCCCTTGGAGAGCACCAAAGGGGCCCCAAGAGAGCCCCAAGACCCCTAAGGCAGTCCCAGAAGCTCCAGTATCCTCCCAAAGAGCCCCAGGAGAGCTCCAGAAGGCGATTTTGAGGGCTACTGGGAAGGGGCCGAAATCGAGGACCCCGCATTTTTTGATCGATGCTCTCCTAGATGGCCCCAACGGGCTTTCCAGGGCACCAGCCGCAGCACCAACACCTCCACCGGGATCGCACTCTTTGGATCCTCCACCTCCTCCTCCTCCTCTTCCTCCTCTTCCCCTCGCCCCCGCACGGCCCCCTTTTTGCTCCCAGAGATCTCTCGGTTCATCCTGGTTGCTCGCTTTGTTTCCCTAGATGTGCCCGTTCGTCCTTTTTCCCGTCAGCTCTCGTCTGCAGGGCTTCTGACTGGGCTGGTGGTGATTTTTTCGTCGCGGCCGCAAGCGGAAGCTCCGGCGGCGTCCGAAGTCAGCCCGGGCTACGAGCCAAACCTAATTAATTACCTAAACGCGCGAACCAAGGGCCGCCGAAACTGCCGCCGAAGGACGCCGAAGAGCGACGGCGGGGACTGAAGGCAGAGCTGCAAGAGGTGCCAGGTGTGCCAGGCGGCTGAAACGCAACCATTCCAGGGGCGAGACCGCCGGGAAGGCAAACAAATTGTGCCTTGTCCCGCCAGGCGCCAGAGGTAAACGAGCCACCCGAGCAAAGCACGGCGTAGCGTGGGACTGAGCAAGCAGCCCAGCGCACCTGTGTCGCGTGTCAACAGTGGCAACCTCAGGGGGGTGAACAAGAAGGCTAACAACTACTCATGAGCAGTCCACATGGCGGTGCACCCCACCATTGCAAAGCGGCAGCTGCAAACGCGGCCAGGCTGTGGCAGTGTCTGGGGACCAGGGGCGTTGGTGGGGATCCTTTTTTGCTCGCGAGCGTCACGGTCCGACCGCGCGCCGAAAGTAACAAGGCCGCCGAGCCAAGCACTAAATTCACCGCGAGCATCAGGAACTAGCTACGCGGCAGCTCAGGGGGCGAGGAAAACGCTGAAGGACAAGTCGAACACGCCGAAACCGTGGAAGACCAGGATATACTGGTCCGCGTGCAGCGCCAAAATGGCGGAGTAAATGATGCCCAAACCCTCAACGGTCACGACCACGCCCACGAGGAAGACGACAACCACGACCGCGAAGTCAATGAAGGCGAACGTGCAGGCGTTCGACGGTATGACCGGATCGCCAGTGGAGGCTGGTGGGGACAAACGCAGCGTGCATAATTGTTGATGATTGTTCTTCTCCTCCTGTCTTCTTCACCCTGCGGTACCATGACATGCTCAGAGGCTTCCGGAGGTGTGCGCAAGCCCTCAAGAGGCACCATAACTGTCCCGAACACGTCCGAAAATCTGCATGTTCCTTCTCCTCTTCCTTCTCCTCCTCCTGCTCCTCCTCCTCCTCTTCCTCCTCCTCCTCCTCGTCCCTCTTCCTGCTCTTTCCCATCCTGACATATTGCGACTGTATGCTCCCACGCTGCCACCTGGCTGGCCGATAGCGAGCACATCCAAAACCCCCCCCGGTTTCCACATGCAAAACAATACAAACTCGGAATTGTTCGTACCCGCATGGTCCTTTTTACCGCCGACGTTGCAGAATACGTGACAGGAGTAAGACGCGGCAAACTCCGCGCGCGAAAAGGCGAAGTGTCACTCTCGTCTCAGCGCCACGCAGATGTCTTCGAACAGTGGCGTTCCGCTCGAGCGCGCTCGCCAATTCCTCGGCGACGGGGTCGCGCGTGAGCGGGCAAAATATAGCTGGAGCCAATGCGCAGCGCAGATGTGGCTTGACTATGGCGTTCCCTCTTTGGGGAACGGCGCGCTGATGGCTCGCCGAGTCGTCGAAAGGCGGCAGCGGGGCCGTGCGGAAAAAGGCGATATGTTGCTCTCGCCAACCCGCCGAGTAAATTCCGCCTCGAAGTTGCACTGGTTCTTGGAAGGAGCGCCTTGGACTTTCTTTGAGAGGGCGCCACAAGGACGAGGCGCACTGGATGTGGACGAAAATCAAGCCTCGAGGGGGCAGATTCGTATCCACATCCAGTGCGCCAGGGGCTCCTGGGGAAGGGATCCCAAACCTCCAAGCTGCAGTGGATATGGACAGGAGTACTGCCCGCACACGCCTTGCCTTCGCCGATCGCACACCTGACCGCGCGAGAGGGCAAAAGGATGCTCCTCGCCAAGCACAGCGCGACCCTCCCAAAAAAGCTCCGCTCCGCGAGCCGTGAACGTCCCCGTCGCGAAGGTCCTCGGAGGCGGGGCCACGTGCGAGCGCCTTCCCCTCGATGGGTGGCAACGCGCGCGCGACTTCCAGTGGCAGAGGGTGCTAGAGCAGCATAAGCATAAACTTTCGACGGCCCGCGCGGATTCCTTGGATCTGCGCTGGCCACCCCTCCCTGGCGCGCGGGGCGCACCAAGGGCGGCGCCGGAGGCGCCGCCAAGGGGGCCAAAGGCAGATCCAAGACATCCAGTCGGACCGTGGAAATGTATGTGAATGCCAGCTTCCTCTTCGACATTTCCAGTTGCGCCAGCACTGACTCTTGTATCATGGGAGGGGCGGTGGGAAAGGGCGGGGCCTGCTGGCTCGTCCGACCTGGCTGACCCGCTGCGCATCCCCCTCCTGCTCCAACAAGGGGACCTAACAGCGGCATGAACACGATTTCTCGGAGGTTCACGCGGACTTCTTGCATCGGCGCCAGGCCCCCCCGCCCTGGCGCGCTGAGAGCGCCAAGGGCTGCGCCCCTGGCACAGCCAGGGGGGGCCCTCGGGACCTCGGAGGAATGTTCATGCCGTTCCTTGTTCTTCGGTCCTACTTCATCCGCTCCCCCTTCCGCAACCGATGTCGCTCGCTTCGGCGTGAGGCCGCGGTGCCTGCTCGGCTCGCTGCCTGGACGAGCTCCAGCCCCGAGAGAGACCGGGAGAAGGAGGGAGAGGAGGGAGAGGAGGAGAGCAGGAGGAGGAGTAGGAGGAGTAGGAGGAGTAGGAGGAGGAGGAGGAGGAGGAGGAGGAGGAGGAGGAGGAGCAAGAAGACGAGGAGGAGGAGGAGGAGGAGGAGCAGGAGGGCGGCAGGAGGAGGGAGCCGCCGCCAGCGGACCAGCTCGCCGATCCTGGCCCCTGGGCCGATCCGGGCCCCCGAGGTCGGTGCCTGCGCCCTCCCGGCCCGGCCAGGGGGCATGGTGCACAGATCCGGGGGCCGGGGGTCGGCCCCGCCAGGGTCGCCCCCCCAAAGGAGAACGGGGTCTGCTCGTGCACCTCCCCACGGAGGCAGCCACCTCCGCATGGTGTCGGCTCGCGCGCGTGCCGCTCGCATCAAGAGCCACTGTCGTGAGCGCGCCTTGTCCCTCCAGGGCAGCGGGGACTGCCCGGCTGTTGCTTGCACGGAAGCAAGCACCCCAGCATGGTGGTGGCTCGCGCGAGTGCCGCTCGCGTCACACACACACACAGACACACAGACACACACACACACAGACACACACAGACACACACACACACACACATGATGGGCCTGTTTTCCACCACCACCACCACCACCATAAGTTGGAGGGGGAGAGGGTCCTCCTCTTCTCCTCCTCCTCCTCCACCACCAACTCCTCCTTCTCCTCCTCCTCCTCCTCCTCCTCCTCCTCCTCCTCCTCCTCTTCGTCCTCCTCCTCCTCGTCCTCCACCTCCTTTCCCCTTCCAACTTATGGTAGTGGTGGTGGGAAACAAGCCCATCAACACACCCCTACCAATAAAGAGGGTCGTTGGGAGGAGGGCTGGCTACCGACATGTGTGCGGGTGGCCGGACCCTACGGGGCGCTCCCGTTCCGCGTCAGGAGCCAAATCCAAGGCCGCGCCAACGGCGCGCTTGATTAACGGTGCGGTTGGGAGTCTCGTATTTGTGACACCGAGCTCACACAGAACCAAGTGTAGGAGATCCCGAAACACCGTTTCCTACATGCCAGAAATGGGGGTGTATCGAACGAACGCGGCACAACGAGTTGTAGGAAAACACGAACCACGCGTTTCTACAGTTGGTTTAGCCACGAACCACGCCTTCCTACAGTTGGACCTGACTTCGCCGTTAGCTAACACACCGTTGGCGAGTCTACGGCACATGACACGACATCGCGGTGCAGAGCCGCAGCCCTGGACCCCGAGAGGGGTGAAAGCCGCTGGTGCTGCACGAAGGGGGCGTGCTCTTCTCTTCGTCCGTGATGGGCCTTGCCCGAGGCCTCCGGAAACCCTCTCGCGGGGACCGCCGAGGCCTCCGTGTGGACCTCTGGGGTCTCTGCAGAGGGCAGAAAGTCCATCCCCCATAAAATAATCCCCCCGACGAGCGAAGCCTTTTTAGTATAACGCGCCCAGGGAAGGAATCGAACAGGGCGGGGCTGTTTAGCAAACGCCCAGGGCCGTTTGGTAAACGTCAATCGTCGGGCCCGGGTGGTGTTTTCCTCCCTTGACTCTACAGATGCATCCTCGGAGGGAGGCCGGATGGCAGGGGATCTCGTGCAGAGAGCTCTACAGGACACGATTGCAAAGGTGTGGCCGATCACGGCTCGAGTCTCAAAGCAGAGGATGTAGGCGTGCTCGAGGGGAGCAAACTTACTCCTCTTGATGTCAGGGAACAGTTTCTCCCCCTATCCTCGGCTGTGCGTAGAGACGAGTTCGGCATGGTGATTACAACACATCACATTCGTCGGCCCGCCTTCTCGAGAACATTGGACTGCTTCTCCGCGTCGCGCAGGCGCTTCATCTCCTGATGAGATCAGCACGCATTCACACCCACTGCATCGCACCTCACCAGCCACACTTCGCTTGGTAATTACCCTGAAGCTCGAGAGGACCGTCTGGGGCCGTCTGGGTCCGATTTTTGAGGGCTCTTGGGCCACCTCGGGCGCGACGGGACAAACTACAAGGCGCCAATGCGAAAGTGCCCTAAACACATCAAGGGGAAAAATGTCTCTCGGGGGCCTCTTGGGAGCACTCTTAAAGCGCCCTTGAGTCGCCTGGGGGGCCTCTGGGGCAGCCGTGGTGCCTTGGTGGGCTATGATTACGGCCACTCGGGCCACCTGGGGCCCCTCGGGGCCGCCTTGGGGGATCTCCGGGCCCTCGTGGGGCCCTCTCGGCGCGCTCTAGGGTCGTCCCTGTGCGCTCTGGGGTGGCTGTGGGTCCCTCCTGGGCAGTCTCAGGCCCAACCAGGGGCCCTCGCGGCGCCATTTTGAACCGTCTGGGTCCAATCTTGAGGGCCTTTTAGACCGTCTTGGGCGCGCTGAACACAAACCACCGACAAGAACCACCCATGATTCCGTCTTCTCAGGGGCCTGTTGCGAGCTATCCTGGACCGCTCTTGGGCCGTCCCGTGAGACTCCAGGACAGTTTTAGAGGCTGCATTTGCAGTAAGATCTCGACCACACGAAACCTTCCACGAGAAACCCAACCCTGAGACCCCAGGACGTCCACTGATCTTTGCCGCGGGAACGTCACGCTCTCCACAGCAAAACCCATCCAGACCCAAGAAACTAAGGGCACCCTGGAGGCGAGCAGGGTGTTTCTTGGCATGGGTTGCCACTGCACGTCCACGGGAGTCGCCATCTGGGCAGCTTGGGCCGTCTTGGGACGACCTTGGGCCGCCGTGCCCGCGATCTTGTGGTCGGGCTCCCCGTCCGGGGGGCTGGGCCCCCCCTGCCCCCGTGCTGTGGTAGAGGTCGCGGCGCGGGGCAAAGTGAGAGTGCCCAAACAAGGCCCCTGGCACGCGTCACCACGCCCCTCCCCCACAGACAGGCACCGCAAAAGGGCAACGCCATGAATAGCAAGAGAAGCGTCCAACGAGAGCCCCGTTCAGAACCGCCCTCCGTCCTTGTTGTCGCCAACTTCTTGAGCGAATGTGCGCAATGCGAAGGCGAGATCGCCACGGACATTCCACCAAACCGTGCTTGCACATGGGGTTTGCGACTTCTCTTCCTCGAGAAGAGGACGGGTCAGCCAAGGTTCCGTCTGGTGCCCGCCCGTGGGACCGCGCGGATGCCTCGTGAGTTAGGTGGGGGAGCCAAGGTCTCGTCTGGATTGAACCACATAGATTACAACTCATCGACTTGTACCACACGTCTGCTAGCACATAGCTTGCACCACGTAGTTTGATGCACCACGTCGTTGGTGAAGGCTATGCGGTCATCGCATAGCTAGGCGGTGCACAACACAGCTTGCAGCACATCTGTTACACCACGTAGCTTACACCACATAGCCTGCACCATGCACGACAGAGTTTCCTACACATAGCTTGCGCCACACAAGTTTGACCACATGCACATAATATACAACATCGCTTCAGCCGTGGAATTTGCAATACAAAACTTACGCCAAGCATATTGCACCGCGTGTAGCTCAAGCCGAATACCAAACACCACATAACTTGCAGAACCTAATTTACACCTAGACGGGATAGCTCACACCACATTGCGTGCACCACCTAGCTTGCTTGCACCACATCGCTTACACCACAGAGTTTGCACCACATCCTCTACCGTGCCTTCAGCACGTAGTGGAGTGCCCCGAGACTCCTGCAGACCTGAGAACTCGATAAAGGCCCTGTTAGGCTCAAGGGCCCAGACAACGAAACCCAACAATTGCTGGGCGTTCTTGGGGTTTGTCGCGTGGGCCTCCGGGACGGTGACCCCAACGTTTCCTGACCAGCGCCCAATTGGGTCCAAGAGCGCCCCCATGCGGCCCCAGCAGGCCCATGGACTGCCCAGGATGCCCTCCTGGCAGCTCAGAAGGCTCCCAAGGCTGCCAACTGTATATGAATATATATATATATATATATATATATATATATATATATATATATATATAATTAAGTAATTCCTTAACACGCACACACACACACACACACACACACACACATATATATATATATATATATGTATACAAGATTTTACCGGCTCGCTTCGCTTCGCCTTTAAAGTCTTGGTCGCACGGCGTCAGCGAGGTTCGCCTCGACCCGTGGTCGCACGCACCGCGGTCTGATTTGGCAATGAGGCTCACGCGGCCCATAGGGCTGATACGACTCATTGGGTTCTTTGGGTCAGTGTGCTGAAAGGCTCTTTGCCGTGACTGGATCTTAGAAGTTCGGGGGCGGAATGTGGAGATGGGAAACGTCGGGCATCGCGGCACCTGGGGGCCATGGGGTTTCCAGTGTCCGCAGCCGAGCTTGAATTCAGAAGGGTCTCTCGGGCTGATGAGCTTATTGGGCGCGGAGGCGCGGAGCGCCCAAGGCATCGCCGAAGCCAATGGTCTTTGGCCACGTGGACCGCGTCGGCTCATGGGGCTTCCTCGGATCATGGGGCCCATGGCGGTCATTTTGCCCACTGGGCCCGGAAGGGTGATCAGGTTCAGGACGGGTCGTCCGGGTCGTAGGGCTCATAGGGTCGACGGGGCCCATGGGGCTCATAGGGCTCGTCATGCTCTGTGGGCTAGCGTGGGCCGTGGGGTGCATGAGTCTGAAAAGGCTCTCAGCGCGCTTCACCCGCGTGAACGCCCTGAGCGGCATGGGGCCCATGGGGTGCACAGGGCCCAGGGGTCATAGGGCTTATAGAGCTAGCTCATGAGGCTCATAGGGCTCGTAGGGCTCATGGGGCTCATAGGCCTCATAGGGTACATGGGGCTGATAAGGCTCATTGGGCGCATAGGGTTCATAGGGCTCATAGGGCTCATCGGTCTCAGAGGGATCTTGGGTCCCCCAGGGCGTATGGGGCGCATATGGTTCGTAGGGCCCATAGGGCTCATACCTCATAGGGCTCATGGGGCTCATAGGTCTCGCATGTGTCAAGAGGGCTCTTGGGGGTCAGCGGGGCCGCAGGACTCATGGGGCTCATAGGGCTCGTACGGCTCATAACGCTCATAGGGCTCATAGGGCGCATGGGGCTCTTAGGGCTCATAGGGCTCATATGGCTCGTAGGGCCCATGGGGCTCATGGTGCTCATAGGGCTCATGAGGCTCTCAAGGCTCCGAGGGCTCATAGGGCTCATCAGGCGCATCGGCCCCATAGGGCTCGCAGCGCCCCCAGGTCTCATAGGGCTAGTGCGTAATAGGGCTCATAGGGCTCATCGGGCTCATAGGGCTCATGGGGCTCATCGGGCTCATAGGGCTGGCACGTAATAGGGCGCATTGGGCTCATAGGGCTCGTAGGGCTCATAGGGCTCAGTGGGCCCTTAGGGCTTGTAGGGCTCAAAGGGCTCGTAGGGATCGTATGGCTCACGGGGCTCATGGGGCTTGCAGAACTCACGGGGCTCATAGGGGTCGTGAGGCGCATAGGTCTCATAGGGCTCATAGGGCTCATAGAGCGCATAGGGCTCATAGGGCTCATCAGGCCCCTAGGGCTGCCACGTAATAGGTCTCATCGGGCTCATAGGGCTTGTAGGGCTCATAGGGTCCGCAGGACTCATGGGGCTCATTGGTCTCATAGGGCTTGTAGGGCTCATTGAGCTCATAGGGCTCCTAGGGCTCAGAAGGCTCGTGTTGCTCATGGGGCTCATAGTGCTCATAGTGGCCGTTCGGGCTCATAGAGGCCATGGGGCCCACAGGACTGAGGACGTCAACGTGGGCGCACGGCCCCGCGCGCTCACGGGGCTCGCGCGGCCCCATTCTGCCGCGCCCACTTGACGTGCGGGAGCAAAGACGCCAGCGACGCCGGAAGAGACGGGGGGCATTTTTGGCACCGACGCGCAGGGAGCGATCACGCGCGGGCGGTGGCGAGAGAGCCACTAGTAGGAGGTGCGCGCTTGAAGTGGCCAACGGCTAATACAGCTGTTGACGGGGGTCTCGTCGTCGCCGGCGTCTCACTTCTTCGCCGGGCGCTTCTTGACAGCGTTCGTCTTGGCCGCGGGCTTCAGGGGCTTCTGGTCGAAAGCGGCGCGGGTCTGGACTCCGAGTGCCTGGCCGGGGCCGACGGTTGTCATGGCAATGATGGAAGGGTATTGCTGCGCGTACGTGGCGAAGGCCTGGGCCGCAGCTTTGCGCAAGTTCACGGCCACTTTCAGCTGCACGTTCACGAGCTCCGCGATCGTGAAGGGCGCGTTCTGGAGCGTTGTTCCTGACCTGGTCACGCGGACCCTGTTGTTCAAAATCTCTGCCTCCGCCTTCCAAGCGGACTTCTGGTCCATGGCGGGGACGTTGATCTGTGCTTCGAGGAACGCCTGGTCCAAGATCTGCATCGTGTGGTCTGCGACGTGCTTCTGTGCCGCCACGGCACTCTGCGCACCGGTGCCGTAAACCGTCCGTGTGTAAGCCCAGGAGATGCCGTGGTACGGGTTGCTAGGTGATCCCGGCGGCTTGAGCCCGGTCGTCACTTCCACCACGTTGCCTGGGGCACCAGCCAGTTTCATGGTGTCTGTGGACCTCTGCGCGAGCGTGGAGAGGCCGTGGTTGCATGCTGGAGCCCCCGCGTTTGCACTAGCAGAGTCTGCTATCACTACACGTGCTCCGGCGTTGACGCGGTTCGGTACATCGATGGGCTCGACGCTGACCAAGAGGGTATATAGGGATGCGCGTTTGCCCTCGGAGCGTCCTTGGCTGGCTGAGGGGGTGGAGGTCGCTGCTTGCTTCAGGCCGATCGGGTCCACGCGCGCGTTGCCCTGCACCTTCTTCTTCTGCGTTTTGGCCGGCATGTTCCAGTCCGGTAGTGGAGCTCACGTCGGTGCGCGTGGAAGTCCGTTTGAACCACAGTTTGGCTGAGAAAGACGACAGTGACGATGGTGGTGA